TGTGATTGAACAATCCAAAAATCCAGGCCTCTCTTTATCATCAGTACCTATGGGGAGCAGTTACAACCACCAATTTCTCTACACTTACCAAGGGATCCAGGGCGCGCTGTTTCTTCCCCCCTCGCAGGTGCACGATCTGGATGACATTGTCTGAGGGTGCTCTCCAGGCTCTCTTGCCACTGCTGTATTCATGCCTAGCTCCACCGGAGTAGTTCATAGGGTCATACTACAGTACACCGTCTGTACTCCCAAAACAACTGTCACAGCATGTAGTCAGGAAAAATTTGAATTTGATACACTCACTTATTTAATGTCAGTGTGGCTGTATATATATGGTAGCAGTATTTTCATGATTTTTCCTGGTTAATTCAAAATTAATTCTACATGCTGTCACACATCTGTCTACCATTCTCATTATGCATTATTATGTAATTGTTCCTGAGAAGGAGACACATATTGTCTCAGTTCTGATGAAAAAAAAATGATACTGTATCACTGAATTGCAAAGTTTTGTACTGACTTGGTGGTTAAATCAAATGAAATGCCTCCCTTGTTTCCCCTGCGCTGCCCGTTACCACAAATGTGATAAACCAGTGCAATTATCTTAATGCCTTTGTGGTTGTATCCATGCAAGCAGGTTTTTTGGTGGTAATGGTAATGGATGATAAAACAAAGCCTCACTGGAAATATTAGATTCTCTTCTGTCATCCACTTTCATATGCACTGCAGAATAAGTACTGGTATGTAGCGTCGTGAATGTTTGTGATGAGTCGGTTTCCAAGAATATGATTTCACAGTTTTTTTTATCCTTGGCTGTCCTTGGTTGGCCTCGTTAAGTTATACACAGATGAGAAGTTGAAGTTGGCAAAGTTGTGATAAGCAAGGAACAACATCCGAATGGTCTGAACTATTGAATCTATAAGATGGATATGCGATTGTGTTATTGCTTTCTGTTAACAAAGTCTAATGCGATCAATGCAATTAATACCAGTACCAGAACTCGCGGATTATCCTTGTACTTCTCCACTAAGCTGCTCTCTTTCCCACTACTACCCTGGAATGTGAATGATACAAATAAGTTGCTGCTCAGACTGAGTGTAAATAAAAATGAATTCAATCATTCCTTCACTTACTTTTAATTTCACCTATCTGATAATGCAGACATACTTAAACTGGTACACATTAACTTTGGGGCATATCAAAACATGCCTGAAAACGTTACATCATTTGTTCTGCTTCTTTGCTGCAGACAAGAGTGATTACCACTCTGATAAGTAATCTGAGGGGCATCGTTTTTTATTGATCATTTCCCAAGCTGTTGAGGCTTATTACTGCTGTGGGGAGGGTGTATATACTTAATTAACACTTTCTTTGGGCGCTAAGGACCTGCTTCATACGTCATACGTCAACAGGTGAACTGGTGAAAGAACAGGAAGAAACTCGGCGGTCAGTATTTGCTGTGAATTACCAACAAATGATCATTACATTGGAGTATGAGGAAGACACATCATATGTTATACATTATACACTTTTAAATGAGGCAGACATTTTATATGGTGTGTTGAAAACTATTTAATTTACTATATACCACGGTGTATGCTTCATTGAAAATAGTTTTCTTTGATAGAAAGAAAAGAGGCTTCAATAATATAATATAATATAATATAATATAATATAATATAATATAATGGGTGCTGCTGAGATATTTTGATATGTTTAAGTATGGGCTGTCCAAAAGGAAAACGTAATGAAGTAGGACAACAAAAATTATTTTCAGCTTTTGGAACAAATGAATATTTTATTTTCCTCACTTTTATATGCCTTAAATAAAGAATAGCTTCAACAACAACTGAAAAATATTCATTAATTATTCATGAAACCAATTAAAATTTAATTTCATATTATTAAAACATACTTGTGAAATAGCATTCACAATAAAGGAATCTTTTCTGTATTTTAAATACAAAATGCATGCACTAGGGTTACTGTGTACCCGTAGAATGCAGCCTTCAGACTTACAGCAACCATGGATGACAATAGAGATTTAGACATGAAATATGACAATTTGGGGGCACTTTGAAGTTTGTGCCTACAGAACCTTATTTTTTTATGCAAAAACAATTCTGTCAAATTGAAATTACTGTTGTTTTTAAGAATGATTCTTGCAACCAGCAAAAGCAAATAGTGTCATTTTTCATAATCACTTTTTAAAAATATAAATAGAAAGAAGACTGTAGACACTAATTTCAGTGACCACAAATTTTACCCTTATGTATACAGTTTTTATAGTAGTGATGAGAACAGACTGGGTAACATAGATTCCGCTCTCATTTTATAACTACAGGTGAATAAGTTGTATCATGATATAAAGCTGTTTGCTTTCATTAGAATAATAAATATACAACATGCTTCAGTACGTCATGAGTTACATTCACATGAACTGGATTTATTTTCAAAAATATGAAAATATCAGCCTGCACATGCAGAGACTAACACCCCATTTCCATAGATTAGATCAACCTACTTTAGATCGACCTAACTCCCTGGGGGTTCACGCTAAATAGCTGTCAGCCGGGCGGACACGAAAGTTAATTACCCCCTTACAGCTTGTAGTAGGCGGGACGGACATTTAAGTTGGATTATCTGAAAGTAATCTAGTGAGACTCCCCGCGGGGATAGATCGATCTAAAATCTATGGGAATAGAGCCTATAAATGGGAAAAACTGCAAAGATTTTCAGTCTAGAAAACCTAACTGTACTTAGAAATTTGAATGGATAATTACAACTGTTGGCATTAAACCAAAAACATGATTTAAATTGAAGTATTTCATAGAAAAAAGATGCCTTCTATATTTGTAAAAAAAAAAAAAAAACACCACACCCACCTCCCCCACATCTACTATCAGCTTATTATGTACCCACCCAATACAACCACTGGAACTGCATGTACTAGAAATTTTCAGGTTGCATTATAACCAATATGCCTCATACATGTATCTGTTATTTACTCGGTGAAGAAAATCCCTAGAAACCGATGATTAAAATACTTGCCTGAATTCCTGCAAAGCATTAGAGTAAGAACAAGGTAGATCCTGGTGATATAATAACGTCTATAAAGTGACTGGTGTTGGCGCCGACTTTGGCGTTTCTTTATGAAAAACAGGTTGGAGTACCTGCAGTATCAGCTGGTTGTTGTTACTTCCATAATTCCTTGAAAAGATTCAGAAACATTCTGCGGGTGGAAGCAAGCAAAAGATTAACCTGGCGGATAATTTAATCTGAAGTGCACTAAAATCAAATATTTGCCAAGCTTGCGCAATTTGATATACCTTTTAGTGTAATGGATGTAGGTGCCAGTGTGTTTTATCTAAAGACAAATAACCAACACATTTGTTTAACTAGCTTTGTTAATGTAAAAATTCATTTAACATCAAGTCAGGTTATAAGGAAGTCCATGCAAGATATGAGGAGGGAGTGTAGTAACTTTGCACTCCAAGCTTTTAAATTGATGTTTGTGTAATGTACTGTTAATAATTGCAAAGGGAAAGCTTTATGGACTAATTTCCAGCGAGACTGATCAAAGTGAGAGCAGTACTTGCTATTTATATTCATGTTAGATCATTTTTTTCACCATAATATCGAATGAAGTGAAGCAGAAAGGGATACAGGTTGTTGGGTTTGTTTAACCACAGCTGTTTAAAATCTACCATATTGTTCAATAACTTTTTAAAAAATGTCAGTCTTTGTAATATTAATAATAATAATAATAACAAATAAGTAAATTAATTTTTTTAATGAATCTTTTTTTCAAAAATGTAGTATCAGATTTAAAAACCACTTTCTTTTTTCTTAATCTAACGTTCATTTTTATTTTGCACAAAAAAGAAAGCTTTAATTATCATTTTGCACGAAAAAGAAAGATTTGAGTGGGCATATAGTAATTTCATTGCTTGAAAAGAATACAAGATGCCTTTAAAACATTAAAGGTTGAGGTTCTTGAAGAAATTAAGAAAATAAGNATTTATTTATTTTAATTTATTAATTTTGTGGGAATACACCTTTTAACACAATCAATAGCCATTTTGCAGAAATGACGCACATTTTTTTAGGTCTTTATTGATCAGGTTTAAAGTATTCATATTTTATGTAATTACATGAAAATTGTTTTGGTTCAAGTGATATAAACTTTATAGTGCTGGCTTTGTTATATTAATAATGCAGAGAAATAAGATAAACTATGGAGGATTTTACTTAGAATTGATAGAATGACAGGGTCAATACGTAAAGGTGTGATGAGAGAAAACGGGTATTGATCACCTGTTTAGAATAAAACAACCTAGCAAATTGAAACAAATCAATGTTTTTAAGCAACTTCACTTGGTTGGAGATTTATTGAGGTTTGTGTGGTATGCATAGCAGACTATAGTAAGTAGAATAATAGGGGTTGCGGTTATTCTCCCCTTTTGCTTGTTTAGCACATTTCCAAACGATTGTCATTTTGTAAATGTCTGTTAAATCACCCAGGCTTGCGCGTCACTTGACACGAAGTCTGAAGTGCAAACGATTAATCAAAACTGGCACTTTCGTGGATTTAACGATGGGCTCACATTTTTACGCTATTTCCGCAGCTGTTGTAAAAATAACTCTCGTTTCAGCTGTTATCGATCATTTTTTTTTATTATTAACAATACAGTATAAAACGTGGTTTCTAATCATACTAAATCACTGCATGCTGCCAGTGTGTTTGTTGAGCCATGATTCGAAATCCCACCTTATCGCTTTCTTGTTTGCTCATCTAACACATTGCTAGGGCTGACGTGTGTCAGTCGCCTACATCATTAAAACATTTACAAAGTTTAAGATTTTAAACGTTTTTTTTTATACTTCAACATCTGTAATTAAAACTTAGTTTTTGTAAAATTAAAACAGCTGAATTTAAAAGCATTTAAGCCAATAATTTTTCTTATCAGATATTGATATTTTAAAATGTTTTAAGCGTTTGCTGACGGTACAACAACTTGAGTCGAGAAAATGGCAGACGCAGATTTCAACGCGCAAGTGCGCACTTTATTCGATTTCAGCCGTTTGTAAGTATAAACTTCAAATTAGAGTGATGCTGGATGTAATAAGAAGTAGATATAACGTTGTTTGTTGCGAATTGGTGACACCCTGACGTTTGCAAACCTATCAGAAATGGAAGTAGTAGAAATGGCCGTCGGACGTAATCGAAAGATAAGAAGGGAGAATTACAGGGAGAATCTTACTATCAGTTCGTTTTAGGGTGTGCAATAGCTTTTTAATTATACCACAGAGACTTTTCTCAACTGTTCAACTGGCCTGTACAGATAGTTTTTACGTTTTCTACACGAAATGATATTTTCTATGTGGAACTTTCGTTTTAGTGTCTCACTTCCGCAAATATTTTGTCTGGGAAAAACCCTTTTACTTCTAGAATCTTCGGTAGGCTTGTGTCACTAGGCTTCTTTTTTTTTTCATTTTTTAAATCCTACTTGTAGTAAATTTCTAAACATTGAATGAGCATTATTAATTCAAATGCCTGTAATTAATGAATTCAGTTGAGGTTGAATAGCAGTGGAAAGGCATGCAAACTTATGTAAGAAACAGCAGTGGGAAAATGACAGTAGAGAACCACCTGACTATTCACATCCATACAGGCAGCATGTTGAATATAGCTTGATTCACATCTGGTTCAGAAACTGATAGCGGTGAAAAATCTGATGGCATTATAAATATGGCATATACCAACAAAACCTTTTTCTCATGTTGCTCATATTCTTTTTGTTCATTTTAAATATTTTTTACTCTATGTCCAGGTTTTTTTTTTTTTTTTTTTCATTTTTACTAATTATTCTCCTTCTTCTTCGTTTCTTCTTATAATTATTATTATGTATCTTTTTTTTTTTCATTCATTTTCTCATTTCCAGAGAAAAACCTGTCCAGCTTCACCTGAAGAATGTGTACAGTTGCCTGGCCATATGCATGTTAGCAGCAGCTGTTGGGGGATATGTCCATGTATTCACAGGCCTTATGCAGGTCAGTATATAATATTGTGAAATCAGTAATGATTACTTCTGACCCATGCGCATACCAGCAATATTTACACATATTTTTACTTTTCATATAAGCCACTAAGTTGGATTTGTGATACCAAGGTTACGAGTTTCTCTCATCCCTTCTATTTTCTAAGTTAAGTAATGGAATACTAATTGCAAAAAGAACTAAAAAGGAGCAAAGCTACATACTAGTACCTAAATGGTTGTGTTTGATATTTACAGGCTGGGTTATTGACCCTAATTGGAGTGATAGGGCTAATGATTGCCCTGTCCATGACAGCCAACACCCCAGAAAACCAGCCTAAAAGATTGGCTATGCTGGGAGGCTTTGCCTTTTTCAGTGGTGAGTCAAAGTTGCTTGGAAAATATGTCGTATTGGACCTACTGTATTGTGTTTTTTTGGCTTCTTAAGTTTTAATGGGTTTAAGTCCTTTCTTCTCTCTCTCTCTCTCTCTCTCTCTCTCTCCCTCTCTCTCTCTCTCTCTCTCATATAGCATTGAATTATGAATTATACATGAAGTCTGTCTCTCTTTTATTGAAACAGATCATTAGTAACAAATAAATATTTTTGTTTCATTCATGCCACAATGAGTGGTGCCCAGTTATGGTTGATGTTTTAATGTTGAATTGATATTTTCCAGGTATGTCTCTTGGCCCACTGTTGGATGTTGTCATTGAAATCAACCCCAGGTATGGTACACAGGTGTTTACTAGTAATTATTCCATGTAGCATCAGTTCTCAACTGTATAAACTCTCACTATTTGGATCATCTTTTGACTTGATCTTGACTTTTAGCATAAACAGTAGGCCTGTGTCCCAGTTTTAGTAGGAAAATTTACAACTGACACTCTTGATGCCTCTGTTTTTGTTGCCATACAGTAATAGCAGTGATATTAAGGAAGAGGTACAGTAAGGACATTGAGAGTACCAAATAATATAATAATGTGTACTATCTGTCTTCAGCATCATCCCCACAGCTTTCCTGGGCACTTGTGTGATATTTGCTTGCTTCAGTCTCAGCGCACTCTTGGCTGGAGATCAGAGAAAATACCTCTATCTGGGAGGTGAGTTCTAACTTATTTGGAGCATATGCAGAGGTTTTGGTCACAGACAATATCCTATTGGGGTGTCGGTCATTGTTGCTAGTTTTTTTTTTTTTTTTTTTAAACAAATCAGAAGGTATCTTTCTTTTTGTCGTCACCATGTCACAAAGGATGGTGGAAAATTGCCACTTAACAAACTTGGTGTTAAAGGCACTATTATTTATAATGAATACTTCATAAATTGAGATACAAGGGCTACCACAATGATATACTTATAACCGTTTTACATTGAAATGAACTTCTGTTTCATGATCACATGATATTGCAGTTGTGTTTTTCTAATTGATTTCTAGGAATGTTGTTTTCTGGTCTGTCCATTATGATGCTGATGAGTCTCGTCAACCTGTTACTTGGGATCCGTCTGATCTTTGAGGTAAAAAATAGGTCTTACCCCAGCTTAAAAATTGAATTCTATGTATACATGTTCATTTATGTGCTGCTGGAAGTAGAGAAGAGTTATGGTCTAACCCAATATTAAAATTTGAACTCTGTTATAGATATATATTAATTATTGTACTATTGGAAGGGATGAGGTTTGTGGTTTGATCCATGCTGTGGTTGGTTTCAGCTGAATCTGTACCTGGGTTTGATAATCATGTGTGGCTTTGTCCTGTACGACACCCAGCTGATTGTGGAAAAACGCAGGCGCGGAGATACAGACTTCATCTGGTGAGTTGTCTTCTTTAAAACATGGATTGGTTTGTGCTGATACTTTACATGTGTTGTTTTAGTTCTTATAATGCTTTGAAGCCTTCAGCTTACATATTGGTATTGTTGCATTGTAGTGTTTAACAAAAGCTAGCCAATCGTGCTAAAAAATTTTGAAAAATTTTTAAGAATTTTTGTCTTTATATATATATATATATATATATATATATATATATATATATATATATATATATATATATATATATACATGAGAGAGAGAGATGGCATTCAGGCTTATAATAAATTTTTTGTGGTTTATTTTCAGGCACTCAGTTGACCTTTTCTTAGACTTCATCAACATTTTCCGCAGACTCCTGATTATTTTGGCAAGCAAGGTATTTTTCAGAAAGATTTTCATTTGATTTAAGCCAAATTGTTTCAAACAATTGAGGTACATACAGTTTTGTAAAGTTTAAGTCACCAAGTTTTGAGGCAGTAATTGTGATACCTGGTTTACTCATGATATTGATCACCAGACTTTTACTACATTATTTTCTTTATGTTGCAGGAGGACAGAAAGAAGAATAAGAATTAGATACACCAAAAATGTGAATTCAAGAGCTTTATAGGACTAGTGTTTGCTGTTGTTGTAAGCAGAAAAAAGGCTTCAAGACTCAATTTGATATTAAAGATTTTGGTGTGAAAAATCACCCAATGTGACTGAATAATTTACATAAAGGAATTATCAGCTTTACGAATATTGTTGTAACTACATGGAATCTGTTGTTTTTGATTTCCCCTTTTGTTGCCAGACTGTCCTCAAATCATCCTCGTAAGACATTGAAATTTATATCCTTGCTCAATTTTGAAATACAAGAAATGCAGTATTTTGGTGGTAATTTCATTCAGGGTGAGAAAAAAGTGCCCTCAAAAATGTGAAGTGGGTATTTCTAAGTTTGTAAATTGATAAGGTGATGGTTAATATTTAAAACTTGTTAAGAAACTCCAGAATTTTTGCTTGTCGATATTCTACATGTAATGCCTTTAGATCATTTAATTATTTTGCAAATATATATCTAGAAGAAGTGATCTTTTAGGGAAAGGAAATAAAACTGGTTTAATCTACTGACGACTGCTTATAATAAGGCATGCATATTGGAAAATGCTCATGAAGAGGACTTGTAATAAATGGCTAAAATGTTTAATAACTTAGATTTAGGTGTTAAGTTAGGTAGATATTTGCCTGTGACATTGGTTTTGGTTTATTTTTTTGTGTAACTGGATGCTTAAGTTTACAATCACGACAAACTGCCTAACACCTGCCTGGCCTGAGCAAGTGCAATATTTTGCTCGTGCCATGGAATTATTCCAAACAATATATTCATATCTCTAAATTGACTAACACATTATGCACCAGACTTCATAGTGTCAATTAATATCACTGTTGTAAATGCTTTTCTGTGGACAATAAATATTTTGTAAGAGTGACGGTTATCTTTCAGTACAACTTATTTTTTATGCTGCATACTGAGGCATTCAGTGGAATGTTGCATCTCTGAAATAGCTTTTGAACCAAAGAATTTTCAAACTTGTTTATTCTGCTAAACTTGCCAAGTTGTTGAGAATAAGCTTTGGGTTGTGATGCTATGTAAAAATTGAAAATCAATTTCGTGCTTCAAACTTGGTCAGCTACCTCAATTGCTCATGTCAGGTAATGACCTTTTGAGTAATTTTGTGGTTTTACAACCAAGTGCCAAGTTTTTTTATTATTGATTAATAGAAAAATCTATTGATCAAACCACACCCAAGGCACAAATCAATGAAATAAATACAATAATAATACTTTACAAAGTTGACAACAACAGTTACAAATTAAGACAATAAAATGTTAAAGTTGACAGCCACAGATATTCTACTGTAATATACATAGAGAAAGCGGTAAGTAATGTTGGGGATTTTTATTTAATTCGAGAGATGAGATATTTACAGAAGCTGAACTTGGGGGGACGCTTGCAAATTGCATTAGCTGAGACAAGGAACCGGAAATATCGTTTAAGAACGAGGCCAAGCCGCGCGCCAAATTTACGGTCCAGCAAAATGACAAACGAACAAACACACTACGATCCGGCTTGTTTGCCAGATTTTCTTCCAATATATTATAAACGCCTTTTCCCGTATGGCCTGTACTACCAATGGCTGAATTATGGAGGTGGTAAGTATCTACGAAGGTATCGGTTAAGACATCTATCATGTATTAAGACTCACTTGTTCGCGGCAAGACTGTACAACTTGAGCTATATTGTTTGTGGGTGTTGTGTTGAAAGCTGTGCATGTCGGGTCTTTGTGGATATTTTAGTTATTTGGCACTTGTACAAACTGTGATAGTAAATTAGGGTGGGATTTGATTTTATTATGAAATTAAAAGAAAAAAGAATGAGCCTTAGAGACAGGCCCATGAAACGGTTAAGCAAAATAAAAAGCGTGATTGATAAATTGTCGTTGCCCTTTTCATTACAGTACCAAAGACGTATTTTACCAACCGAGAGTTTTCATTCACGTTGAAGGATGACGTGTACGTACGTTACCAGTCGTTTGCAGACCAGCAGGATATGGAGAAAGAGATCCAGAAAAGATGTCCGTATAAAATAGACATTGGGGCAGTGTTCACACACAGAGTATGTAGAGTACAGTTTTTACTATGTTTCCACATAATGAGGTGTAGTTAAAGATTCATGGTGAATTTGTTACAGAGGTACATGTTGTTTTTGCATTGCTGCCTGTTATATAATTTGCAACTGTATTCATATACTAGCACTGGTAGTTTGTATTTCATTTACTTTTAATCAGAGGTAACTGTTACATTTTCATTGATGCTTTTATGTATTCAGTCTCAACTGATATTAATTGGGTATGTTTACAAATTTCTGAAGTATTAAATTTTCCCTGCCATTTCTTACCTGTTTGACAAAAAATATTCAGACACAGTCAGGTTCTATCTTTTTATTATTATTATTATTGTTTTGTTTTTTTTTCTTGCAGCCCAAAGACCACAAAACTGTTAAAGCAGCAGCTTTTCAAGCTCAAGAGAAGGAACTGGTCTTTGACATTGACATGACAGATTATGATGAAGTTAGAAGCTGTTGTTCGTAAGTACTTTAATTTTGATGAACAAAGTTTAATTGTGAACATGATTTGTAAAGTAACATTTATATTAGATAATTATTAAACCTTTGATGGTAAGCTATTTAACTCCTTAGCTAATGGTGTGTTTTTATCATAATAGGGGTGCAGACATATGCCCCAAGTGTTGGCCACTTATGATTATTGCTGTGAAGATTATAGATACAGCTTTAAGAGGTATGTTGTTGTGAATATATTAAAAAATCAAATATCATGATCTTTAAGTCTTTATATATTATCTTTTTAATCAAGTGAAATGTTTTCAAGTAAGTATTTTATAAACAGTGGGCAATGCAATTGTTTAAAATTACAAGTTGTATTAGATCACATTATTGTTACGTTTTATCTAAAATGGGAGATCAATACTTTTAATAAAGTCGAATTATTTAATCTAAATGTAAAAAAAAAAAAACAACTTAATTTGGATGTATCTTATTTAGAGGACTTTGGTTTTGAGCACCTGTTGTGGGTGTATTCAGGAAGGAGAGGTATTCATTGCTGGGTGTGTGATGAACAAGCCAGGAAATTGTCTCAGAATGCACGTACAGCTATTGCTGAATATCTAAGTGTTGTCAAGGTAAATGTGTAGCTTGAGCCGTACTGTAACTTATGACAATTTGTAACCATAAATGTGAATTTTGAACATTGAACTTAAACAATATTCTTGAAACTCCTTTAACATAAAACATACTGATTACTCAATTATTGTGTAATATTGATATTGATTTGATATTGAATGAAATTGGAAATTATGTACTGTGAGAAGATATTTGGTAAAATTTCATTTCTTTTTCTTCTTATTATTTTGATTAAAGAAGTGATTTCCAATTTCGCAGTTTGCACTAAATAATCCATTTTATCCCTCAAGGGTGGTGAGAATCAAACAAAGAAGTGCACCCTGTATGATGATAGTATTCATCCATCTGTAAGGTGAGCTCGGTGATGTTTTTTGCCATTTTCTTATAGAAGTTAGCATTAATTAGAACAGTTATAATTCTCCACTATTAAGTTGCTGCTGTCTTGATGCCAGTCTTATGAAAATCTGAATTGTAATTTTTAAGTAAAAGAATTAAGTAAGATTAAAAGGCAATAAATGTGAATCAGGCTGAATGACAAAGCACATTTCTGAATATTCTTGGCCAAGTGAACATTACTTGAATTAAATATTTCAGGAGGGCGATAGATATCGTGGAGGATCATTTTGATGATTATGCCATCCGTAAGCAAGATTTTGCTGGATCAGAGGAGAAGTGGGGGAAGGTGCTGGCACTGGTCCCAGATGATGATATCCTTTTATGATGATGGGCTAATAGTTAAGTTTGTGATTGGTTATGTATTAGTTAAAAAAACAATTTGTTAAAAGTTTATATAATAATCCATGTTAAATAAAGTCACTTTAGTAAATGGTGGTAGTAGGAGAGGGAAGGGGGTAATATGTAGTTGGTTTACATCATTTAGATTTATATTGATAATCTCTATAAAATTAGGTCACTTCTGTAAATGGTGAAGGTAGGAGGGGGTACTGAGTACTTGTTTTCTGTCTGGTGTCTGTATATTTGTCAGCTTTACTGTCTAGTTTTCAGTGTAAGGTTTGATATTAAATCAATAACAGCCTGATGTCCCCACGGGCCATGTCTCATGTTTCCTTGACTCCAGTCACCTGTCAGATCCCAAGTTCTAGAGGACTGTAAGGAAGTTAAAGCCGAGTCCTCGAGGGCAAGATGGGCCATCTTGAAGAAAAGACAGCAGGATTTTAAAGACAAAGTATGCCTCATTTCATTTTCAAATTTGGTTATTGGAGATAAGTCAGAATAAGTGTACTGTACTGATCTCTTGTGTAGATTAATATAAATAGTATACGTAAGACAGGATACTTTTTTTTTCTTTTATTTTACTTATCTAGAATACAGAATTGTAAGTGAAAAAAAAAATACATTTTGGCTTGAAGTAAATAATTCGAATGTAGCTTTTTCATTGGGTGAAGCCTACTGTATTATTATTATTGAGTGCCAATTGGAGAAAAGGTATCAGTCTTCGTTTTAATTTCAGAATGAGTGCAAGAAGTCGTGGTGCGTCACGGAAGAGATCATGCTCCAGTACTGCTACCCCCAGACTGGATGTTAATGTCAGTAAAGGAATCAACCATTTACTGAAGAGCCCATTTTGTGTTCACCCTAAGACAGGTAATTGTGGACAGCCTGCTAGTTTTAACGTCAGGTGAAGACGGCCAAGTTGTCAGCCACCAGTTGGTAGAACATTAACTGACATTACTCTATCTTGATCAATTTGCTGGAGATTTTTCTGACTTTTCTAATAGTAAATGCTGGAGTAGCGCTAGCAATTTTTTTTGTTTAGACAAATCACCACTTTTTTGTTAATTTGTTATCAAAATGGTTATAATTTGACTAAAACAAGTCAAATCAAGCCCTTTTTCTTTAGCCAATTTAAGTAAGTTTTAGCATTTGGCTAAATTGGCGAGTGTTAGCGCTACCCCAGTAAATGATAACTTACCGATGCCAGACAAGGATGGGTTATCTTAATACATACAACACATTTTGAATATCTCTTTCATACTTTTAACCAAAATGTATTATCTGCACATTGATATTTTGGATGTTTTGTTAGGAAGGGTGTGTGTCAGTATGGACCCTAAGAAGATTGACAGTTTTAATCCGTTCAAAGTTCCAACCCTGAGGTAAAATGGCCATCCTCTGTAGTTCTTTCTTCTTCTATATTTGACACCCCTTATTTTGAGAATTGTTAAATGTCATATGATGTGGTATAAAATACCAATTTTTAAACACTTTTTGCGCTTAGGTCATTATCTTAGTTTTTTTTCTCATGTTTTTTAAAATTCTTAAAAGAATTAATGAATCTTACACAATGTATTACACAATGTATATGTCTTTTGGAGACAAATTCTAAATTTTGCATGGATTTTTTTCTCACATTCTCTACCAAGTGTTCTCCCATTTTTAGTCAGCTTTGTGATGAATTGAACCAACTGGAAAACAAGAGTGAAGATGATCCTAAGAAAAGAGTGAAAGGTGATAGAAATAATACAGAAGTTTTTCATAAAAGTTTCTTCCAAAGGCACATTTGTGTCTAACTATCGTGCAAGGCTACTTATCTTTCCCAATTCATATCTTAAAAGTGATAAAGCACTTTAATTGAGATATTTCCCTCTGAAATGTCAGTAGATATGGTGGTCTAAATGAATAATTGCTTGTTAAAATCTTAGTTCTTAAATTTAAAATGGTGCAAANAGAAAAAATACATAAGTTTTTCATAAAAAAAAGTTTCTTCCAAAGGCACATTTGTGTCTAACTATCGTGCAAGGCTACTCATCTTTCCCAATTCATATCTTAAAAGTGATAAAGCACTTTAATTGAGATATTTCCCTCTGAAATGTCAGTAGACATGGTGGTCTAAATGAATAATTGCTTGTTAAAATAGTTATTAAATTTGAAATGGTGCGAATGAGAGTTGAGCAAAAGATCCATGAAAAGAAGAAAATTATTTTGTCCTTAGGAAAATCCTGCAAAGAGTTTTTTTAAGATGAACAGTTTTAGCAACTTTTTGATGTAAAACACCAGCTTGGATTTTTTACTTTATTTCTCTCTCTCTTTTATAATGAAATATTGATGTTTTCTTTTAGACTATAAAAGAACCAGCCTGAAAGAATATGCAGAAATATTTGACAAATTTGTTCACAAGCTGGCGGGGTCTTGGAAAGGCAAGCTTATAGAACAAAGTGGTAAGTTTTTGGAGCGGCCAAGCAAGTCAAGAATTTGCAGATTTAAGCTTCTTATTTTTTCGGACTTTTTGTAAATGAGCAGTTTCTGTCTCAGGTACTATTAGTTCCAAGTTTTATGCTTTTTTAAGATGAAAGTGATATGAAAACATGTAAAATGGAGTGAAATTAGTCTTCTCAGGTGGAGGTTTCAGACAATTATAAAGATTAGCATTTTTGAATTCCTGTACATATATTATTTTTTGATAATTTTTTGAAATTTCATTATAATTATGTGGTATTTAATTTTTTAGATATCAAGAAGGAATTTTGAAGTATGTCAGCAATCTTCAAGACAAAAAGGATCAATTTCAAAGATAACATGAAAGCAGCGTGACAAACTACTGGATATTGAACTACATTCATCAAGTTTTTAAAACTGACATTTTCTTACAATCTGTAATAGCACTTGGCGACTATAGGCTTGTTGGAACAAGATGTCCTTATTATGGACCTAGAGTTTAAAGAAAACTAAAATGTACCAGTTTCTTTGCAGTTCTCAGACAAGATTTTCCAAAAGTGTACATTTTCCTTTTTCAGTCATTTTTAGAATTTGAAAATTTGAAAAATCATTTGCAGTGGATGTGCTCGTTTATCAGAAGATACATTTTTTCACTAAGTTAGTTCAATTTCATTTTGGTTTTATTTTAAACTTGTCAGGCAAGACGTAAGAAAATTTTCCCAGCTGTTGATTGGAGTCTTGCATTGCAAGTAAATAGTCTTAACAAAGTCAAACACACTTTCAAAGCAGTGCATACGCTTAAAAAATAACTCCAATCCGATTAAAGCATCTGCATAACATAGTTTATTCAAATATTTTGACAAATTGGAATCTGCAGGAAAACAAACTGAGGCAATTTACAGTTTTAATGCATTTGGCAAATTACTCTACTGCATTGTGTAAACTGAGTAACTGGAGAAACAATATGCAATGTTCTGAAATGAACCAAGAAAAACTTCCAAGTAGCAAATTATCTGGCCTGCAGACAGGGAAAGTATTCACTGCTATTAATTCAACCTCTAGAATTGTTTTCTATGGAAACCATCTTAATGGTCCTTTTAACTAGCTTACACAACGTATCAGGACCTGAGAACTTGAAATTTTAGAATCACAACAGTATCATCAAATGTTCTGATTCAATGGCAAAATCAGACTCAGAATTGGTAGTAAAACTACACTGTAACACTTTAAGGATAGCATTGTTTTTCATGTTACACTGCAATTTGAAGCCAGTGTTATTTGACAATGTTGTGAACATATTACCTTAATATGAAAATAAGTGCAGTATGTCTGTCAATTGTAAAATATCAATAAATATGATGCACTTTCAAACTAATAACAAGAAAATTGCTATTTATGGTGGCTACGGTCTCGGGGGGGGAAATGCATAAACTGCCAAAGCATTCAAGAGAATCAAACTGCTTTAATTCATGCCAGTCATGGAGAGAGGAAATGACAATCTTTATGCCAACTTAAATATTCTCCAAGTTTGTGACAAGTTTTACTGAAGATCAAGCAAGATTTTTGGTAGCCTCACCTGCATAACAAGCGATTTACAGTATTTTACACAAAAAGAGAATAAAGAGATGTAAGTGTATCAAGTTCAAGATAGGTTCATTTAATATACTACAGTCCCATCCATTAGGAAACCTATACATAACATACACATAACATAAACATAAAGTAAACTTATACATTTGACAGAACAGATGATCGTACCAAGTTACACTAACAACATTCTCACATGTTCTATGAAGAATGGGGGACATTCATGCATTCACTCATCAATGGGTACAGATCCGTATGATCTCTATAGCCCTGTGACCACTGTGGGGGGGATGCAGGAGGAAATAATACCATGGAACTAGTCACCTCTCTACTGAGACAACCAATGGAAATCCTGCAAGATGACCTAAAGGGAGGCTGTCAACATAAGAGTACAAAACCTGCAAGATACTGCATGTAGTGGAGCAGACCTTCTCAGCGATAACTTGGAAACACTATGCGCTGGAATGTCACCTTGGTAAGCAATGTAACTCAACCGGAAAAAAAATCCTTGAATACATTTTTCCCACGCTGCAGTTGCTTGTCCGAGTCATCTCTGATCCTACTTCTCTAAATCCAATGAAATCTTGCCCAATTTCATGCTGTGTTATAAGAACCACTGGGCTATCTCGGACGATTCCTACGATTCTGTGACCAGTGGACGAGGTGGCCATTAACCATTATTACGAAGAGGTAGCAGTATCTGTGAAGCAGAATGAGCTTATCTTGCCATAAGTTTTTCTGAGATAAATTTCTTTTGACACTAGTCATATATCTGAATATGACACACCGTTTTGGATTTAAGATGGCAAAAAGTCATGTGTTGTTTAATTATATAGAGGCAAATGTTGCCCAAATACTTCCAGCCATGGGTGGAATTTTATATGCTAACTCTAGGTGCACTTTCAGGTCCATTGGTCAGAATAAAATATTTGGTGCTCATGATCAGAGTATCCCCTTAATCCTCCCAAACCAAAGATCTCAATTCAATATTATCATTATTTGTTTGGTTAAACTGTCCCAAAAACTACCCAGGGTCTACTAAGCAGCACACTCCACTGATTACAAAGTTCAATGATATCATTCACCTCCACTTCTCCACAGTGAGATTCTCAATATTATATGTTTAACAGAATTCTCGGACAGAGAGACTACCACCACTCTCTCTGCATACAGCGTGATCGATCACTCTCATTCATTCACTCACAGATGATGCTTCTGGTTGAAAACTCATAACAAGTTTTTTAAAAACTGTTATTACGATGACGTCATACCCAGGTCCATGTGTATTAGAGTCTGGCATGATAACAATCAGCATCCAGTATGTTCCATCACCTCGGCTCTGGTGCTGGAGGTAAGGGTGGGTTTTAATGTTATATAACCATATGTGCCCTCTTTTATTTCCAGGACAAATGAAGCAGCAGTAGATGACTGCTTGGCTTGTCTTGTCATCTCTCATCATGATCAGAATGATGTATGAGGCACCATGCATACACTCACGCACACACCTCGCATTCGTTGAGCCACGCAACTCCTCTCTCCTTGGGCTCATCTTCAGTTTGTCCAATGCATCAAATGTTGTTCTCTGAAAATCAAACATTTTTCTTTTAAACCAGTACTGTATGCAATAACCTATCGGCATTTATTGTAAAACAGAAAACACTTTTTGTCAAGTTTTCAGAAACAGACCGTAAACTAGGCAACTAGAAAATTTCAAATTACATGACTCACAGCTAGATCATTCATGCCATCAAACACACAAATGACATGCCTATAAGCTAATGATTAACCTGACTAATCAAAAAAATCTTATTTCTTCAAACTCATCACCTAGAGATTAACCACTATTTCTTAACCTCAATATTTCATAAGTCACCATAAAGTGCTCCACATGAAGTAAAGGACTTACCAAGACGATGTATTTTTGAGTTTTCGTATTTCCTTTGTGGCCCAGGTGGACAGGGCCTTGGTTTTGTTGGTCTTGGACCTGCGCCCCTTGGTCAGCAGGTTGGTGATGGCACCCTTGTCCACCAGAGGTAGGATGGCCTCACCATAGGCACAAACCAGATCACTGGAATAGAACACAGCAATTAGGAACTCCCATCTATGAAATGGCTCAAATGGGCATTTTTCATATCAAGTTACCAACATTCCTCCAAATATAATCTTAAAGCTGTTCACTGGCCCTCAGCATTTATCAAATGGATGTATGAACAACAGGACGCCCAAGAAGACCAAGCACATGCCAAAAGTAACAATCACCTGAAGTTACCACTGACAGCTCTTGCTATTCAAGTTTAGTAATGCCATAACACTGAATATACAAATAAAACACAATAACATAACCCAAGAATATCAATAAATGGTGTATTTGTCCATCATCATGCATGTTCTAAATATTTGTAATTCTGTGTATTTACCCAACCAATCCACTGCTGGCTGCAATGTTGCCGTCAGTGTGGTCTTCATCTTGGAATATGTGTTCTATGAAGGAGATCATGTGAGGCACGTGTGGCTGAACTAAATTCACGTCAGCTGGAACACAATTTTTAATAATAAATTTACAGATAATAACTTAAAAGATTTTCTCACACTGAAAAATGTTATCTTAAATACTCAAATTTGTCTTAATGAAACTCAATATTACACACAAAAATAGGTTTAAGAGGAACTATAACCTAGCCTAGATTGAAGGTTCTGTGAGGTACTTACGATTAGGCTGTTCTCCATCTCCCTTCAACCCCTGCACTATTCCAGTGTAGGCCTCAAGACATCCCTCCCTCAGCTCATTCAGATAGTCTATCATGTCATAGTCAGTCTGGAAAATATACACACACAGTGCAGAGACAGCACTAGGTATTTCTTACTGAGTACAAGAAGACTGGACTCCCAAGCTTAAAGTACATTGTCTTGAGAAGAATGATTATTCTGGCATTTTTCCCCTTTACACAGACTGCACTTAAAATGAGCTTAGGTGAGCCTTTCGGTGAATACTTAAATCAGGTCACAAAACCAGGAGAAGACATGGTCTGTGCTTTCTTACCTTGTCTACTTGTGCTTCCGAGGCCTGTTTCAGTGTGCCCAGAGCCACATCCAGGTACTTCTTGAACTCTGGCCCAATAGCGAGAGCTATGTCCCCAAACACGGACAATATCTGAGGCTTCACGGACCTATGAACACTTGTATCCTGTAGGAAAAACCAGAGAACAAAGTTAACATGTATCTATGAACACTTGTGTCCCGTGGGGAAACCAGAGAACAAAGTTACCTTTATTATCATAATATCTTGTTATTTACAGAGGCAATTTCTTTTCAGATAACTTACTTGAAACATGGATTATTTAGATAGTTTACATTAGACATGGGGTCAGAGTTAATGTTGCAGATAACAAAGACTAGTTAATGAAAGACCCAGTTCCTCTTACCCCTAAGTTCTCCAACAGTACAGTCATCAGCTCATCACAATAAGCTAAGACGTTGTTTCCTAAAGCTCTGCATATATCTCCTGTCAGGCCAACTGCTGCCAGACACACCTACAAGGAACAGAGAAAGAGAACTGTCAAACACCATCAAATACATGCGGGAAGTTTCTGTACACCCTGTAAGTTGAATAATTTTTCATTCTCATACCATATTCCCAATATAAAATGGTCATCCAGTTTTTTCTAGTCAGTTATCCTTTCCTTTTGAAAAAAAAATCTTTTAAAGACATATTGCCATGCTCATGTACATTATTCATGGAAAGAAAGACTACCCAACACTACACCCAAAATTATATATTTGAAACTTAAATAGATACTTGAATAGAAATAACTCTTACCTGATATTCTGCATGGTTCTTCAGAGCTACCAGTAAGTACGGCTTAAATGCATCCATATATTTGATGAACTGTTCTCCTAAGACTGAAATAAATACATAAATTGATGAATTAATCAATACCATAAATAAGAGATGAAGGACTTGAAAAAACAGGGACATGACTGTCAAAACAACGAAAAAGCATCTCAGTAGTATTAGCTGTATCAACAACCATTACAAATTGGGATTGAAAGGATATGTTTGACCAAATCACCTTTACTTCAAGAAGCTGTTACACAAGAAAACATTTTATATCAATAACTGGCTTTCTTCCAAGTCACAAGAGCAAGATGAAAGTACTAGATTAACAAGATAAAAGTACTAGATTAACTTAAGACTCATGTTAACATCATATCACAATGATCACTAAGTAATCATGTCAAAACATGAAGAGACACCCTTGGAGAAAGCACATTAGTTTCAGTCCATCCAAGTCCACACCCAATGTGCCCCTGATCCCCTCACCTTCCACCAGAGTGGACATGGCCAGAAGCACGTCCTCCTGTACACCGCCTGCCCTGCCTGAAGAGTTCTGTAACATCTGTAGCAGGGCTGTCATGATGGGGTCTGAGATGTGGGGGGCGTCCTCTGGTGTCACCTTCCTCAGGACACTCTGGGGAGGAGAAAGATATGATAAGGTATTCTGTACAGTTAAGACTTTTTGTGGTCGAGTTTGGTTACACATTTCGCCATCTTACACAATTCAGTCATAATGAAAAACCAAAATTCTTAAGTCTCTGGAGGCATTCAGAGATGCAGAACAAAAGGTCAGCGCAATGTGAAGATGCTGTTGTCTGCGAAAGAAGAATCTGTTTGAAACTTCGGCATGATCTTGGGAAAAAAGGAAACCTGTCCCTCAAAAAATGCCATAATAGGCCTCCTTCAAAAATTATGTTAAAATCCAGCTACTTTTCACTTTTTTTCCCAGATAAACGAACAGAAAAGCCCCATCTTTGACGTGTACTTGACATTTGGTTTCTGAATTAACAGAAAACACTTAACCTTACTAATATGCTGGAGTATTACAATTACCTGAAGTGTGGCACACAGCAGGGACTGCAGATCATTATACTGGACACGGTCATTACTGGACGTGATGTGGCCCTGGAATATGGACAACACTCTTGCAATCACACAGACAATGTGTGCAAATAGACTTATAGATCAACTTTGGGTCGTAAGAAAAAAGTGGGAAGAAAATGGCTTGGTGGCCTAAAAACCAGATTTCTATTTTAAACTGATTAAGAAAGCCTGAAAATTATTCCTGTATTCTAATTTTACTGTGGAACATTTACGGCTTCAGCTCGATGATTTCTACTCACTTCCATTTGTAAGACTCTCTGCAACCTTTCCAATATCACTAGTGTCGTCTTCTGAACTGTGACGTAACAATCCTAAAGATAAAAAGAAACATTTTTTTAAACAGTGCATTTAAAAAACTTTTCATAGTCAGATGAAAAGACATTTAAGCTCGTTAATAAATAAATCAGGATCAAGAATAACCATCAAGGAGCAATCAGCTGTACATAAGAATATTATGAAGAAGTCCTATTGAAAATTAAATGCACTAGATGAATTAATTAATCAATATTCATTTCAGAACAAAAGAACAGTAATTTAATTTAATTCTATACCTTTGGACTATTTTTCACCATTTCCATCAGAGCTTCATATGCTGCACTTCTCAGATTGTGCTGACTGCCATCATTTCTGTTGAAGACATTTAAATACATGTTTAAAATAAGACAAAAATAAACACTGTTCTAAATAACCATACAAAGATAACTTTCTTCTATCTCTACCATGGTTGGATAAAAAGAAATTAGCCAAATAGCTGAACAAATATAGCCTGATCAAAACTCTGACCTTCATAACAGATTGACTTGACATACAGTAAAACATCTTTACACTTGTCTCTGTCTAGTGGACTAAAGCTAGCTCAGAATACCAAGAAAAACTTCGTTATTCACCTGATGATACTTAAAAAGTTCATTTCTATTAACTGGCTTAGTGTGTAAGAAAAAATTTTATATCAACATCATTTTGGATAGGTAGGCCTTGGAATCTTCCGGCCCAAAACAGAAACTGTAAGTGAACAAATTACAAAGTTTTACAGACTCAACTTCAACAAAAATCTTGCTGTGGGGCATCTCTGCATTAACTGACTCTATGCTCTGCCCTACCTGTCTGTGGTTTCTAGAAGCCTCTGTATGATGGCCTCAAAGTACTCGGACAGTGGGTAGGTATCTGGCTCCTCAGCATCATCTGGTATTTCTACAGACTCATAGGCGGCTTCAGCAAGACTGGAGAATGCCTGGGGAAAAGAAATAATATGGCGTGTTATTAAATAAAGAAACAAAGAAAAAAATTTCAAACAAATACATAATTTTTTCCTGAAAAGTGACAGGAAAGCATATTGGATAACTCAGTCAAGCAGGCAAAAGAAAATTGTACACAAAGTACCCATCTTAAGCAAACCAGTAAAACCACTTCCTTTTTCTCAAATTTTTTAAAACATGCCACAAACAGCCAGCAGACGCTATTCCATCACATCTTGATGCTTACCCAACAGACATTAGAGGCCACCCTGGGCTCAGACTGGAGACCTTCCACGAGAGCTTGCAGCAGTGGTTTCAGCACCACCTCATTGACCACGGCGTCAGGTAGCAGTTCACACACACGCCCCACCGTCCAGGCTGCAGTATCCCGTACCACTACGCTGGGATCCTTTAGAAGGTTGATCAACATTGGCATGGCTTGTTCTACAATAGGTTTCAGGTTCTGAGGATCTGGGCCTTCCAAAATTGAGCCTAAACAGAAAAAAATATTTAAATACATCATCCTTTTCTGAGTAAAAAATAAAATATATATCCATAATATAAAATATGAATAAAATGAAGCACAATCTACAACATTTAATTTGCTAATATATGCTAAAACATTTCAATGAAGCCTTAAAAAAAAAAAATTGACGAAATGCAAGTAATCTTGTTGCAGTAGCTTTGTGGCCTTGTAAAGAGTATGCCACTGAAAACAGTTAACACCAATAGGCACTAGTCCGAGGCAATTGCCCACCTACAGGTACTGGGCTAGAGTTTAAATTTCATATTTCCTATAACCCAAGCCCACTTTAAGATGGTGAATCTACAGGTTTTGTGGCCTTAAATGCTTTTGGTACAGACTGTAAAAATAACCTTATAACAGCCTGTGTGAGACTTACCAAAGGCCATAACTGCAGCGTCTCTAAACCTCCAGTCTGGACTCTGGATATTGTCTTTTACAAAGGGGAGGACCAGAGGGACCACGTCGTCCTCACAACACGTCGCCATCAACATCAGACACACTCCTGCTGCTTTACATGGGTTCCAGTCGTCATCGTCATCAAACTCTTCCTGGAAGACAAAAAAAAGTCCATTCTTAAAATCTGCCATCTTCTATACTAGCTCATATTCTTTTAGATTGAAATACTATGCACACGTTTCACCTAGAGAACGTGAAAGGACTTATAGTTAATGTTTCAAAGTGGATGATAAGAAGGATATCTACTTGTGAAAATATTCATATTTGTGTCACTACCACTTGAAACCTATTTTTCCCTAATAATTGACTAAGGATAATTTCTTATATACATCTTTTACTGGCAATATAATCTGGTATTATCACAAACCAGCTCTGAATCAATCTGCCTGAATGACCAGCATCAAATTACCTGTTTTGTGAGGACCTGGGTTAGGATGGGAATTAAATACTGAAGGGCGCCTTTTGCATAAAACCTACTGGTCCTTTCTGGGGGTCTGCCCTGCTCAGCAGCCTGAAAATATTGGACATCTTAGAGGCAATGTCTCTTTAATATCACCAGCTCAGATATAATAAGATGAAAATAATGAATACTGTATGAAATACGAGAATGTTACTTTCTGATAAAATTTTAGCCCCATTATTATTATTATTATTATTACATTAGAGGCATATTCAAGTGTCTATTCTATTACAGCATACCAAATAGTTAAGTATATTATCAGAAAATATGAAGTTAACAATATTATCAAATTAAGTTTGATAAGATTGTATTTGTAATTCTAACGCCCTTACTTCTGAAGCCTCTATGGCCAAATCTACCTCTTCATCACAAACACTGGACCAGAACTCTATACCCTGCAGAGATACCTCATCCACATCACTCTTCATGGCTTCCATGGTGATCTGAGAGAAAGCAGAAAAACTGTGGAGTAGATTTTATAGATTATTTCCCACTCATACTCACATCAGAAAGATCTTTAATCCGATAATAAAAATAATATAACATAAGAAGTCATCAATTATAGGCATTCTGCTCTAAATGAGCATGTGGTAGTAAAGATAATTTAGTTGCAGGCAAGGATTTGGCCAGCTAGCCACCCAGCTCTCATTTGGACAGCCTGATCAAAATCGTTCAACTAGACAGCTTCTAAAAATTCTCATTAGCCTCCCCCCTCTCCAATTGCTGGTAGATTTACAATATACTTACAGCAAATAAGGCTGGCCCCATATAGTGCTCCATACACTGGTAGTAGATTACAATATACTTACAGCAAATAAGGCTGGCCCCATATAGTGCTCCATATATTGATAGTAGAGGGACATTATCTTGACCAGGCACTGCAGGGCGGCGACCTTGACCTGTGTGTCCACCGACTGGGTGGCCTCGCAGACTACTTGCATGATGAAGTGACGCTCTTGCTAATATGAAATGGTATTAAAGTAAATTTATATACATTTTCCAAAAAACAGTACTGTGATATATTGAATGAAACATTATTTCTTTAAAGTACTGTCAAACCAGAGCCTTCAAGAAGCCAGTAAGTTAATCTCTAATATCAGTAAGTTAATCTCTAATATCACTACTTTAACCTACAAATATAACTTGTCGAGATTATTAGAAATACAACTATACAACTACAACTTAGCTGTTGCATCTTTAGAATAAAAAAAATTTGCTGATTGTCTTACCTCCTTGTCAAAGTTTGCTTTTGTGAATTCTAACGAATTAAGTAATGCATTTGTTGCTGCTAGCCTGACATGGTTGCTACAATAATAAAGTTTTGAAGTATTTGACTTAATTTCACGAAATAAAAAAAATGCAAGACATTTAAAGAGTCACAATTCAACTGATGTCTAAAACAATTGTTCAATTACAAAATCATCTTTTACAATAGCACAATGTCCCACAATTTTTAAAAAGATATGAAAAATCTTTTTAAATTATGCTGCCAAATATTTTACCTTGGTTCGTCCTTCTTCATGCCGTGAACTATAGCTGTGAGGATTTCATTAGACTGTGATTGAAGTATTTCTGGGTCCTAATAAAAGGAAAATGCAAGAACATAATTCAAAAGTGGCTCAATATAAAAAAATGAGTAAGCAATTCAGCATGATGGTGGCAAAGAACAGCATTTACTTCCTTGTAAAAATAAATAAATAAATAAATAAATAAATAAATAAATAAATAAATAAATAAATAAATAAATACAGCAATAAATAAAGAATTACCAGTATGTATTCTCTACCTAAACACTTTCATCTAATCTCTAACTTAAGATAACAGCACTCACAATGTCTTGACATATATAACCAATAGCCTCCAAAGTGGACTCCTTCATCATCTCTGTGCTGGTAGCATTGGTCACATTCTGGACCAGTACAGCCATCAGGTCTGGCCACTGACCATTGGGCAGCTCAGTACAGGCCACATAGGCCACACATTGAGCCGCGGAGCTGGGCCGAGTCTGCTCAGTGCCTAAAGTCTCTAATATCTGAGGGAGAAAGAACATCAAGAGGGCTTTGATTGATAATCTTACAGTATTTAATGAATATCTTTTTAAAGATGCAATCATATTGTGTCACTTCTATAGTTGAGAAAAACATGAATGCCATTACAATATTTAATAGATTACACAAAAACGTGATGTGCTTTTATCTGCAAAAAAAAAAATGACCAAAGTTCTACACAAGATTTCTTTGCAAGAAAGTGTTAATATCAGAATTGAACTCCATTATGATAAGGCAGCAAAGGCTGGGTTCCTCAATTTCACAACGCCCGGGTTAATGTACAACTGGAATAGCAACACACCAAATGAATACACTAACATTTTTCTTGACATAAGTCCTGACTTCCTCTGGAAAAGCCAGCCATCTTGTTTGGTACTCTAATTTCACAGCTGCATCCTTGGAGTAGAGGGCATTTTTCAACTGCAACCCAGCTTGCATTCTGGCCACGGGGCTGTTCCCGCCATGTTTTAAAATATCCGACAGCTGCCGTAAAAGCTCAGGCTGAAATGATAATAAATTTAGTCTTAACCATAAAATTACAATTAAGCAAAAATTAACATGCTTGGCCGAATAAATTAGATGATATGTATTTTTAGGGGGGGGGGTGAAAAGCATTAATTCTTTATATTAAGAACTAGTAGATTTTTCAAATTTTGCAAATGCAAGGCATTTTTCACACTGAGAAGGATACTTAAACAATAAAATCTAAACTGTTTACTTCGCCTGATCCTAAAATATAATAACCAAGGAAGAGACTGCCCTTTACTGAAAAAGAAAATATTGCGTGGGGTCCAGGGCCTCTTCTAGGCCAATGATATTTTTGGCTCCCAAAACGTCGGCAATAAGCTGACAGTCAGCAAAATATCATCCCTGATTATTACACATCAACAAATTTTATTCCATTCTATAAGTTCACTTGCAGTTAAGTTAGCAATAATTGGGCATGTCAAGCATATATAATCGTCAGGATATTGTCAATCTCTAAAAGTGAATGATACAGTATCCCTTGAGTATTCCAATTGACATGAAAAGTTTTTGCCCTCAATTAAGTCAACAACAAAATGCTGCAGGAAGGAGGGACTTTCCCAGTAGGTTCTCTCAAATACTCTCAAGACACAAAAAAGAACTAAAAGCTGTATGTCAACTTTGGCATTGTGATTTAAACAAATATATTAAGTTTATGAAAATACAAGTGTAAGTGACAATATTTGGAAAATAGCTGTGATTTCATTAAAATGAAAGTATATTTCATGTATCCCTCATTTGGTAGGTTTAAAGACTGGTCCATTTAGTCTAGAAAATACTTACTAGATTTTGTCCTGCTGCTTGTTCTAGGTACTTTTGAGCCTCCTGCAGTTCATTCTGATCTATAAAATAAATACAAGCTAACTTTATATACAACCCAAGCAGTGTCGTGCAAAGCCATTTAATCCATCTGCCACGAGAAGAGTGGACGAAGAATTTTCATTTGGAAGTGAGCTCTTAGGGATAACACATTACTCAACATACAAGACATCAGAGATATTTTACCTGGAGAGACGGTCTTCTCAAGTATAGTGATCAGGTCCATCTTCTCTCCTCTAAAGCGGTTCGCGACCCCCAAGGATTTATGGACTGGCTAAATCAATACAAAGAAATTATTTTCATCAACTTTTCCTCTGCCCACGGCCCAACATGTGGAGGTCGCGAATGAATATGGTATGACTTCTAGCCTTAGCCCTAAAAAAGCTAAACGTTGATTGGCTGAGCGGTGAAAATCCGGCCATTGATAAATTCGCTTTTATTTTGCTGTGAACTAGATTTTGCAAATTGCTGAACCTTTCTTGAATGACAGGAGTTTTCGATTAGGACACTGGAAGAAAAGTGTCATATGGCATAGAAAGAAAAAATAGCATAAGTATGACACAAAGTATATCTTTAAACATGCTGTGATGCTTCTGAACTGCTGTCGTGCTTCGGTTTTTGAAAGCCGGTGCCCCACTTTCGCGCCAAGAGAGATTGTGATAGTTGTGAAATCAAAATTGCTGCTGAAGTCAACACAGCCCTGCTTTTTTCACCAGTGTAAAATCTGGTAAAAGTCATTTTTAAAGCTAAAATTAGACATTAGTAACTGGAAACAGGCTTAGAGTTCGTAATTTTCTTTACTTATTTGGATAGAAAATGAAAGTTTGTAATGTGATAGCTGAAATTCCCAAGAAAATTTTAGTTACAATAATCAATTTAATAAAGTAATTTGACTTTTTCTCTTTATAGGCCTAATAATTAACCCTCACTATGTGCCTTTATTCCTGAACTTACAAATATATATTATTATAAATTTGTGAAATAATTTTCAATAAGTATTTTCATTGTGTTATTGTTATTCATTTCGTTTTTCATTGTCTTTTCAATCATTTATTTATTACCTCCGCCAAGGAGGTCATGTTTTCACCCCTGTCTGTCTGTCTGTTTGTCTGTCGGTTTGTTTGTCATGAACATAACTCAAACAGTTATGGACCGATTTTGATGAAATTTTCAGGGTAGGTAGGAAGTGGGTTTACTTAGAAGTGATTAGTTTTTGGTGGTGATCCGGATCAATAAACAATCAATTATCAATAATAATAAAAATCGCTGCCTTGGCGGAGGTCTGCGCTCTCGGAGTGCTCTTCTAGTTTATTTATTTATTTATTTATTTATTTATTTATTTATTTATTTATTATCATTTGAATACCAGGACATGGCTGTAATGGAAAGTCTGTAAGGTTAAAGGATAAGTTAAGGCCAATGGCGGATTTAGAGAGGGGCCGTCATCTGGTCCTGACCCCCCCCCCCCCCCCCCCCCCTTTCGATTTCTGGTCCCTTATTGACATTAGAATTTTGACTAACTGAATCATAGTTCTAAGCCGTACCAAATGGCTCCGTTCGCCCTCTAACATATCAAAATTTTTCGGGGTCGTTCAGCAGGCCCTTAACCCCACGCCAAGTGGTGGTGGGGGGGGGATGTCGGTTCGCAACCCCCCCCCCCTTTCAAATAATCCTGGATCCGACCCTGAAAGGTGCATGTTAAAGCTTTAACTTTTTAATTCGCTAAGACAATTTGACTTTAAATATATTTTTTATTGATACAACTGTAGTTATAATAAATGGTACAAGACTGTCCCAACGGTTTGTTAAGGAATTAGCCTAAAAATAAATACCTTTGGTTCTAAGGTGAAGCAGGCGATTTGGGAAATGTATCAACACAAACTGATAACGAACTTAACTTCTAAAGAAAACCAAGGTGATGGAATAAAACCGAGTTGAACAACACGATGTTTTTTCTAAGATAAGCAGTGAAAGCATACTGGGGCAAACAAAGCAATTTGTCTTACTCCACGCGCAATAACATCGCCCCCGTGAACCGGCTAAGGTCAGCAGCTGGAATAAAGGAACGCAACTTCTTTACCAACTAGGGTCAAGGAATTATTTCTACTGTGGGAATCTCATAAAGCTCAAACCACTCCCCTTTTATGACTACATTCGAATGTTTCACATAATTCATGAGATATGTATCATATCGTTTGGTCACATTTCTGTACGGGGGGGGGGGGGGGGGGGTGTCCCACGACCCGCTCTTTTCAATATCGAATTGGTGAATTCAAAACTGCAGATTCCTCTTTGAAAAGACAGATAAGACACGTTGGAGCTAACAAATATGAATTCAGTTTTACAAAACACCCCAAAAAGCAGGGAGGTTGATACACATAAGATGTATCCGCCTGTGAGGTAATACGTGGTTTATGACATGTCTGTTGTCAGAGCATGGCGCGGTATTGAACGACAAATATCCGTGTTGATACTGCATATCTTTATGTCAATTCTTCTCCAAAGGGAAATGAGACAAGACCGAGACAAGAGCGTGGTTTTCTTTGAAATCAAGAATTACGCCAATAAACACGCCCCAGCCCATTTCAGATAAATTACGTGGGTTATCAGTTCACCAATATATCTGCAGGTGTAATACTGAAAGTAAGCTCTGGTTTAACGGATTAGTTTATCAGAATGGACCACACATGATATCGGTATGACACATACAGTACCTAGGTGACAGGGGAGTGAATCAGTTGACAGAGGAAATATCACAGCGTTTGAATCAGGTTCATTTTTGTGCACCGAGCCCTCCGGCTACAGCATTTAAGGGTGACTCTAACAAAAATTGTTAAAAAGAAAAAAGGAATCTGGAATAGGCCATCAGTGGTCCTATACTCAAAAAAGGATTAACGAAGGCTAAACTCGAAACGTAAGTTGAAGTTGTTCCATTTCATTCTTTCAATCAATTATGAAAATTATTTTATTTCACAATTCCCTTATTGTTATTATCATTATATTATTATTATTAACATTCGTTCACATCTTGTGTAACTGCTGTTGCTTGCTTCATTAAGGGATTACATACAATATATAACTGACCGACGTCTAAACTTAACTCCTTTGCTTGCTCAAAATGATTTTCGTGTTAAAGCACAACAATTAATTAAAGGTGGAAAGGCAACATATTGACGCCAAATACTACACATAACGCATCAACGTAACTATATACATGTATATTCAATATTAACTTCACTTTAATGCCTCATTCTAAAAATATATCCACTGAATTTCATAAAGATCTTGCGTTTCTATAAGCCACAATGAGTGAGCTTGAATTTTCACATTTCTTTGGTAGCGATTGATTTTTTGAAATTACGTTTAAAACAATTTATAGCTATAGAATGGTTATCAATAACTGGGCTCTTTTGTCTTGTTTGTCCCTCAAACTTTAGAGTTAAAGAAGTCAGCTTTAAAAGTTTACGCCACCTTTATGACTTATGTGTGTTATTACCATAAAATGGAACATTTAATCAAAAACAAACTTCAGTACTATGGATCAAAACAGTCAACAATCTAAAACGATCTTTCGCAATGATAAACAATTTTGCGCGAATTGTGTGTAGTCAAAACTGAACATTCACGAGAAAAATATAAACTATTACCACATTTATGTCTCACTAAGAATAGGATGGGAAGATTTTATTGTAAAATCTTAGTCTATAAGTTAGGAAAAGAAAAACAGCGTAATAGGAATATTCTTACAAAGGTAGAACACTTCTGGTGAAAATTTTGCTTGTAATTTCATATCATTCATCTCATAATTTTCTGGTCGTGTGTTTCATAAAGATGAACATTTCTGGGAAACTATGTAGGGTTGAAAGGCGGGTCAAGTCCTTACATGGAATATATATGAGATACACTTAGGTCTAAGTTCTGGGAAAAACGTATTTGCCTGAAAACTGCGGACATTTCCTCAGAAAAAAAACGGACTTTCATTACATCAAGATAGTAACCTCCTTGCATGCGTATTTTAAACTTTTAGTTTGCAGCAATATTGTTGCAGTATTGTTGTAATATTGCTGCAAACTTTTTATTTTGCTAAGGGTGTGTTTTTTATATGTATATGCAGACACCACAGGTGTCCGAATTAATTTATTTTGATCAGTGTGTCTGTCCGGCTAGTCGCAGATGCTGTCCGAAACATCTGTTCACCCCATTATTGCCTGAACGTATTTTACTTAAAAGTTTTGAGTGACTTTATTTGGTTAAAAAAAGTTTCCTTTCTTAAAATCAGCATAATAAATTTGTAATGCTAAGTGACTATGTTTAGGGAAAAAGGGCAGTTCCATTTTGAAAGTCATCGCAAACGGATTATTTGTACAAAAGTTGTTTTTTAACTTTCTAATAGTTATTGTTGCAATGTTTTTTTCAGTTTGGTGTCTGTATGTTTAATTTGTTTCCAAAGATTTTAAACAGAAATATTTTCTGAAAAAAAAAACATAAATTCATTTTATATATCCTCATATCATGAGGTGTAAGACTGAATATCAATGCCCAATACATATACTAGGCGGGTAGCTCTACTAGTGTAGAAGACCAGGAAGTCGTGGATTTGTCTTCCACGTCCATGTTTAAAACTGTGAAACTGGGTCCTGCTGTCTTCTGGCATAGAATGCGGTATATAGAGGAAGAGACAGGGGGTAAACACCTGGTCGTACGGTAGTGCTTAAGATAATTTTTAGTAATCCAATTTATTCCCATGGTTATTTTTTATAATAACTCGGGAGTGCCACGTATATAACTTTTAGTTTAATTTTAAAGATTTTTTAACATAATACTATTTTCTGAAAAAAAACCTTCATTTTATATATCCTCATATCATGAGGTTTAAAACTGAATATCAATGCCCAATACATATACTAGGCGTGTAGCTCTACTAGTGTAGAAGACCAGGAAGTCGTGGATTTGTTTTTCCACGATCATGTATAAGACTGTGAAACTGGGTCCTGCTGTCTCCTGGCATAGAAGGCGGTATATAGAGGAAGAGACAGGGGGTAAACACCTAGTCGTACGGTAGTGCTAAAAGTAATTTTTAATAATCCAATTTATTCCCATGGTTATTTTTAATAATAACTCGGGAGTGCCACGTACATGTGTGTCACTGCTTGGTTGTCTGCTCCCCTGAGAGGCGAGGTCGTTGCAGTATTGGACAGAAAAAAAAAAACAGACATGAACTGAAAAGTCGACTGATATCGTTTATCGATGATATCTGGCTAAAAAAAGCTAAAGGCATTACCTTTATTTATCGATATATCCATTGATTGGCATTATCATGTAGGTTAGATAAAATAGGCATAT